TTATATATAAGCCTGAAGTCATACTAACTAATATTTATATTTATGCAGGGGGAGACTTTAGAAGTCAACAATTCATTTTCTTCTTTAAAGAAAAAAGAGGAGGAACAAAAAAAGAAAAAAAAAAAGAAAAAAAGAAAAGAAAATGTCTAAATAACACTCATTTAAACTGACCACCCTACTAAGTTAATTTTTTTCCTAGGTGGTGTTTGTTAAAACTTATTCTAAAAGTATTATTATAAAAGTAGAAGTTATTGATTGTGTATTAAGTAAATATATATTAAATGATTATTTCTAAAAATTGGAAATATTTGCAAATAATGCTTGAAAATCAACTTAAATGGAAAGCAAATATATGAATGTTTTTTAGAAAATATCTTGAAATAGCTTATTTTAAGAGAAATATAATTAAAAGTTGATTTTACAAACACCTAAAAACATATTATAAGAAGAAAAAAAAAAAAAAAAAAAAAAAAAAAAAGAAGAGCTCAAAAGCTCTTTCGGAAATTTCCTGTAAACACCACCTTAATATATAAGTGGTGGGCTGACGACGGCACCAACTTATTTTTTCTAAATTCATACTTTGAAACTGTTTAGCATCGGCTTCATCGGAGGCCAGCGGTGGTTGTGCGTGTGCCTCTTATTTTTAGAAAAACCGCTACGGGTTTTGAAGAATATTCGTAGCGGCATAGTTTGCCGCCGCGGAGAAAGGTGTCTAGCTAGGGTTGAGGAGAGCACGCCTTGCCCCTCCCCGAGTTTAGTGTAATCAGTAATGTATCACGTGTCGCGCCCAATGTATATATTACATTCCAATGCATCCAATCAAAATGCAACAACTATGTATTAATCAGAAAATTATAATATAATATGCTATTTTTTGGAAAATATAATATTGTATTCCATTCCAAACCTGAGGATATCACACCCTTGATTTTTGAGAAACTTTTTTTTTCTTTATAGTATGGGGTTCTTTTGTATTTGAAAATATGACGGGGGTTTAAATTGCAAATTCAAGGTAGGTTAGACAAAATTCATTTACTAGTTCTCCATTTTCATCAATTTTCTCTCTAAATCTTTCTGAATTTCTCCCAAAATTTGCAGATGATTATATTAATTTGAATTTTTCACATATTTGTACTATTTTATGTGTACTGAAAAAAAAAATCGTGAGAGTTACCTCGAAACGACGAAATCCCTGTAAACTTGTAGTACATTAACATCAGTATGCCTCATACTGGGGCAACTATGCAATATCAAAAGGTCAGCCCACCACGCCATCTTCATTACAACGAAACATACCCCAAAGAAAGCTTGGAAGATCCCGAGTTTGAAAAAAATCTTTATACCCCTTGTGATTGTATGCCCAAGCCGCTAGCCAATCCGCCACAACATTCTTTTGCCGAAAAATATGAGTAATTGAATAACCCGACGGAAAGATTTAACTACATTGGCGAAGCAAATATGTAAGGTCCCAACTAATTGACGATCTCCCCTGTATAGCATTGACTACAATCATAGAATCACTCTCGATAAGTACGTTACTCAGCTGCAAGTCTTGGCAGACCTGTAATCCATCTAAGAGAGCCGATAATTCACCTTTATTATTCGAACCATGACCATAAAAAGAAGAAAAAGCGGCCACTAATCTCCCCTGACCATCTCGGATTATTCCCCCACCCGCACACAACCCCTCCTTAGACGACCAATCCACACTCAGCTTATAATGACCTAACGGAGGCTTCTCCCACCAGAACCACCGGCAAACCGGTTCGCGCACCAAAGCACTCGGTAGCCTCAAACTTTGAAGAATGTTATCTTGGAGCGGAGAGTTCTTTTTTGGTTTTAGCTGCATCGCCACCAATCCCAGTTGATACATAATTCTCCGAATAATCGATAAAAGATTTATAAATTCTTCGTCAAGCCGGGCGCTACACCTGGCTTTCCATATCCCATGCATAATTAATACACACGCCGACAATTTAATTGCCGCAAACGAGGTATAGTCCTTCGTTTGATAAGACCATAAAATCAAGTTGTGCACAATAGAGTTCTTGTTTCAAGGAGTGTGAAAAATATGCGAGAAGTGACTCCACACCTCATTG